ACGTCTTTTTTCAACCACAGCTATCGCCACCTGGTGGCCTTTAGAGAGAATGCATTAAGAATGGTCTAAGGCAATTTTGCAATGGCTTCATTTTTCTGACCCGGAAACTACTCCCATGTTTTATACTGACCATGAGTAAAAAGCAATAAAAACAAAAACCTCTCTGAAATAATGATGCTTTGAAAACGTGAGATGAAAATATTTGAAACTGAGCCCAGTGCCTAAATGTATTGGATAAATGTGTTGCAAGAAAAAAGGCAACAGAGTTCAGGGAAACAGAAAGACGTGAAAAAAAAGAAGGTTAAATGCAATAATGTCTCACAGGCTGATATTTAAAGCTAGAATATTTGCTTTCTTCACTTTCCTTTCACAGGGTGAGAAACATGCAAGATATCTTTCTGATTTCCTGGAAACAACAGCAGATGTTTAAGATATAGTTACGACTTTTAAAGTTGATATCAAATAATACAAATATTTTTAAAATGTGTGATCCTCCTCATCTTTTACTTGTTGTCCATGCTCTTCATTTAAAGCATAATCACATATCAACCTGATTCTATTTTTACTTTAGACTGCTGCAGCTCAGAGCCTCTGTGTGGACGAAACAGTCAAGCAGTGGAAAAGTTTTAAGTGTTGCTGTTGTTCTGTCAGCTCAAGCAGTTGCTGTCCTCAATGAGAGGCAAACAAAAAACAAAGAATGTTCTGTTGTCACTCGCAGGAATAATTAGTGGTATTCTCCGGATTTGGATGTTGGCCAAAGCACGGCATTTCATCTGCCACTGTGAGCTGAACATATATTGGGTTCAAATGAGCTGAAATGGCCAATAGACGTGCAGGGTTTCACGGTGAATTCTTCTCGCGTATCGTTTTTCTCTTCCCCCGTCTTTATGTGGCTCGCTTTAAGCCCTCTTTTCTCTCCTTCTCCCCTTGTTTTGTTATTTTACCTGGAGGTGCAGGTGTGAAAGGGTGAGGCCGTGGAAAAACATTCGATTCCGTAAGCTTGTCATGAAGGAACCCATTGACTGACCTCTGCATCTTGGCACACAATGACAAATGGGTTTGCAATTTTCCGCCTGACTGAGGGGCAACAAAGCACATTTCCACTTTCACCGGTAGGCAGCGAGAGTACAGTCTCCCGCTATCTCACTTGCTCTTTAACCAGGCGGTAAGCGTTACACATAGCTGGACTCTTTACTTTGGCGCCTTCTACCCGTACGGTCAAAACAGACAGTCCCACTCGGTGTGATGTATCAAGGCAAACATAGTTAAGTGAAAGCCTGACTTCACGCAGTGAGGTAATCTGTTGATGAAGACAAGAAAGGCTTGTTTTTCTTGCATCACATTTTAAGACTACTGCTCTTTTTTCTGCTCACAGTCACTGTCACAAAAGCTCAGATCGTCTCAAACTGGTTTCTTCACCATGACAGTGATTTCACCGTACTCACCAGATCTCAGTCGATTGGTGCAGCTTTGCGATGTGGTGGAACGCCACATTCACGTCATGAACGTGCAGCTACTGTGTGATGCTTTCATCTCATCTAAACCAAACTAGCATGTGTCTCTTTGGTGGACTTTTGCACTGGTTAAAGCAGCTGCACAAATGTCAAATAACTTTTAATAAAGTCATTATTTGTTGTTGTAGCTGCCTGCAATCTTCTGAAATTACCAGATTAGAAGAAAGACAATGCTCCAAGTGAATGCGAAGTCTGTTATATCTAATATGTTCCAGCATTTCCAAGCTACACAAGCTCTTATATTTTATTTCTCTGTCTGTTATTTTGTTTATGCGTGTCTGTAAATGCTAGCTGGTGTTCCTTTTTTCTTTCAATTGCTTCCAAAGTGTCCAAGAATGTTAAAAGTGGAAGCTATGGAAATGAACCAATTGACCTTTTTTCTGACCCTAGAGATCTCCACGCCCTGCGGGAGCACAAACTGTCAGACTGCAGCAGAGTTGGGAAATCAAAGAGATCTGTGCTGTTATTTAGTGCGGCGGCACCTTCAGACCTGCTGCCACTCCCCCAGCATGGATTTCACACACTTTTTTTTGCCACACTGCTTTCAGTTCAAAGAGATAATTTGGTGTTAATGAGAATGGCAACTGTTTAGGAACCACAGCGGCTGGTTTTATTGCTTATCTTGGCATGATTGCACAAAAAACAAATCCACTAGTGATCCAGACATATTTGCATATTTGCAGGGTTATTGTGTGTGTGGGTGTTTTGCATCTGCCCTGGTGGGACAGTCCAGCCAAGGAGCCCGGAGTGGCGATTATGTCCTGTAGGGATAACCTGCCATGGTGCTGAGAGCCTAATTGATGCCTCATGCTTTTTGGAAGGCAATTATAGCGTCGAAATGTCAAGACCTAATTTGTGACTCTGTAATGTGGACACGCAGGCCAGAGGAAATGGTGACACGGCTGCTCCGGAGGAACTCACACACTGGTTTGGTCAGCAGATGTGAGGGGCCTCTTTTGAGCGAGCTGGTCTAAAGTGAGGGGACTTAATAAAAAGATGCAATTTTTATTCTGTAAAACAGTTAAAGTTCATGCCTTCAGAGTATAAAACAGGCACAAACATTTAATCAGAAATGTGCACTCAAGTGTGAAATGTGAGCTTACCCATTATCCCAATGATAAATTAGCACACAGTACTGTCATATAATACTCGATCAATCAACGCTGCATTAGCACATATTTTATATTAACAACTGATGAAATTCCTGTTTGTAATATCAAAGCTTCAGCTCTGCTTACTGTTTTAATGCCTTTTAGCTCTTTGTTTTGGCCACAGCCGGACTGTTTTGCTTCACTCCCAATGCTTTTCTTAACTTTGCTCCAAGTGCCGAGCAGACGGTTATTTCCAGTGACAAAAGGCTCAGCTGCACTCTGCCAAACAGGAGACAGAGCTGTTGACTGGATGTTGGCATAGTGGAGCATTTAGCATCTGTGTTACAGTTGAAGGTGGAGCTGTAATTATCAACAAATCCAGACATAAAGATGATTATTGACTCCATAAATAAAATAATAATTAAATTTGCAAACTGATTAGAAAGTGTGAAAAAGTTTTATATTGTTTTTTACATTCTCTTAAACCCTGTTATCTGCGTGTGATTGGTGATTAGAGTGCATCATGTGTGGTATATACTTTTATCGACACCCTGCTGATCTCTGTGTGCTGTTTTTGCTCTGTTAGATGCTAAAAATGGCAGTTGTGCATTTGTTATGCCAGCTCAGATTCCTCAGCCTCCACCAGGTTCTGTGTGTTCATGTCCCTTTAGTCGAACAAAGCACCGTCAGTCACCGGCACCGTTTCATGCCTTGTTAACCGAGACTCTAAACTCTGCAGAAATGTACCCCGGCTTCTTCTCCTTTCTGTACCGCACAACACCTAAACATGGCTGTTTTCTACTAATGTCTCCATGGAGATGCAAACAGAGGAGCATATTTTCCACTGGAGCTGACAGCTCGCGATGTGGAGTGTCAGTAAATCAGGTATGCCGGTCTAATTGCCGCGTGCGAAGTGCAAAACCACAAAATCCTCTTAGCTATGACACTAAAAATTATTGAACTCTAACAAAGTACAATGCAGGACGTGTAAAAAACGCTATTTTTCTTTTTCAGGGCACAAAACATGAATGACGACTGGAAGCTTGGATCAAGGGATGATATTTGGGAAGGCTGGATGTAGATTTTTCCGGAATGCCTCTCTCTCCCTCTTTCTCTGTGTCTCTCCATAGACTAGGATAAAAGCCTAAAAGTATCAAGTGGATAACGCTATACTTACACTTCTGCTGTAATGCCCATAAACACACATGCAGCTAATAATTTGTGCGCACAGCAATTTACTAAGGAATAAACAAACAACAAAGAGCCTGAAATCAATAGTTGCAGGATTGCAATGACACAAAGCTGCAGGCACCATCCCTGTGCAAACACAGTCTTAGAAGTGGCCACAGCTTTAAAGCAACAGGTGAGCTTCTCGGCACCTCCCCTGTCTTCCCCAATGCAGCCTTCTAAATATAGAAATTATGCTCTCTGATAATTGGGGGCAGACAACAAAGCCGGCTATATTTCCACCCTCCTCCTCCTTCTGCTGCTGCTGCTAAGTCATGTTCCCAGCTGACAAACAGCAGGCCTGAGATCAGAGTGTGAGAGCTTGAGTGCTGAGGGAACACCTGCGCTGCCTGACTGGACTGTGAAGATAGATGAGGAAGATCACTGACTTCCACACCTGCCAGTGGACTCATGCCATACCCACACATTCACACAAACTTGATTTGCTTTTCCCTCCCGAGGGCTCTTTAAGGCCGCTGCTGAGGACGCGATGAAAGTCGGTGGAGCATCCATTAAGCATGGCAGACGGCCCTCCAGAGTGGGTGTGGACGAAGGGGTTTAAGTGTTTTCAGCAAGGAGTCGTGGACCACCTGGAGGAGGAGGAGGAACGGGGGGAACAAAAGCATCTGTCTAAAGGGGCCAAGTTGACTCCAAAAAACCCCACCAGTTTAACAAGTGCCAAAGAGCACTTCTGGGCATCAGGTATCACAAGTCAGGATTTCCAGCATGTTTAAAGAGATGACCTTCAAAATGTGAAAAGGGAGGGCTTACGCGCTTAGATTGGACAAAGTCTGCTTTTCGTGCCTACAAAGGCAATGGCGACAAAGCCTGCACTGAAACATTAGTATTGTTGGAGATGTCGGGAACAAAAACAGCATAAAGCTCCAGGTCAAAGTCACGGACAAACTCTGGAAAACATGGAACAAGACAGGAACAAAGCCCTGTTTGAAAACTGAGTGTCTGAAGAAAGACATGCTGGAATAGGCCTGCGTGCGTTTACTGGATGGACAGGGGGATGTCCACGTGCGTGCAGGATATATAATCCACTCCTGGATGCTGTCATTAATCGACAGCAGTTGATGTTCAAGGTGTGCAGGTGGGAAAGTCCCACAGTATCACTCTGTAGACAGGAGAGAGTTGGCAGCAGGGTTGACTATCCATATCAAGACAACCCCACTGGCTCACACACTCACACACGCTCAGTTCACAGACTGATCTTTCATGCTTCAACACAGATCTGATCCCAACCATGGAGGAAACTGTGTACAGATAAGAGATACTGCAATGTAGTTTTATTTTGATGTTCATGTGCAATTAATATTTTGAACATAAAGACATATTGAGAAAAAAAAGAGAGAAAGAAAGACTACAATTTCTTAAAGATGTCTTGGCCACCTGGACATTCTTTAATAGGACATGACAACAAGGCTACAAATCTCAAATGGTGAGCAGGACTTTCTTAATCCTTATCGCCCTGACCTCTTCTTTTTATGCAGCTGCTAAAGTGGCAGGACCCGAGCTAAAGGTCAGATTTTATTTGGCTTCGATCATGTCCTCTACGTTTGGAGCGTTCGGGAGGGAAGCTTTGAAGTTTTATGCATCCATCAGGTCTATGATTCGTCTCCGGGTGTAATGGCATCCATAAAGAAAGACAACATTGATCTCATAAGCAGGTTTAAACTGTTCAGAGGCAAAGTTAACCAGTAAAGCACACCTTTTTTTTTTTTTTTTTTTTTTTTAAATACCCCCGTGTCAGTTGCAGTGTCAAAAAAAAAAAAAAAATTCACAGTAATCACATTATGATAAAATGCATGCCAGATGTGGGAATCTTTTCAAAGAATTTGCTATTGTTTTTCATAATTTTTTAATCATTAGTACTAGCTGAATAAACGACAGTTCAGTTCAGTGTGTCAGTTTTTCTATAGTACAGTTTCTAGTGGGCTTTTGTTTTCTATATTATCGTTACAATTCTAGCTGTAAAAATATATTCTCAAATAAATAAATATATAACATAAATATGTGTATCTAAAATGAATAAATAAGCTTTTACACTTTGTTTTTTTAAACAGGTCTAAAGACAGGTGAGATTAAAGAAAAAGCTGTATTCCTTCAAAGTCCTTCTGATCAAGCTACGTCTCTCTGAGTGACACTGTAGTACCATCTTGTAATGTCACAGATTCCCACAGACTCCACACCAGCTGGCATCTCTGTCCAAACGAGGAGATACTCCACAACCGTTCAGCCCTGCTTCTTATTTGTCTCCTAATCCACGCAGGTACTTTTGTGGAAACAAATGACGCCCTCATGCAGAGCGTGCAGACATTCTAGCCTGTCCTCCTGGCTGCTGAGAGATGATGGCCCGTGCATTCCTACAAGAGGCCCCCCACCCCCTTCTCCGATGCCTTTATCCCCGCTGGTCGGGCTGCTGTTCACCAGCCTGCGACCGGTCACATCCCCGCCTGCGTCCCTCCTTCTTCCTTTCTGCTCCCAGGACTGCCTGCCAAGGCTTTTTAAGCATCTATTCCTGATCTGGACCAGGCCTCCAGCTCTCAGCTGTGTCCCAGGATATCCCTGTACAGCTCTGGCACGCGCTCAGGGTCCACAGGCCTGGGCAAGAAGTGTGTAAATTTCTGGTGCCGCCTGGATTTAGTCCCATCCCTTGGTGTCCCATCTTTATTTAATGCCACAAAGTAACGCGTCCCTTTGTCTCCGTGCTTGTAGCGGTTGGATGAATACGTGTTGTACCAGTTCTCCTCAAACTGCTCCCTGAAGACACAATCAGCCGTGAGCTCCTTCTGCAACATGATGTGGGGGAAAACAGAAACACACATCCCAGTTATTCATTAGGATTATTAATTATAGAGGAATGAAAAAGTCTTTCGCAGGGAAAAAATTGAGAAATAAAGATTTGGGCAACAGGAACAAGAGAAATGATACTTACAGAGCCATACAGCTCTCCTTTGTTGTTCATCCCCAGATAGAGTCCACTGTCCACCCCTTTAATGCTTATCAATCCAACAGCCAGGCTTATGAATTCCAAAATACCTGCAGGAGAATAACACAGTTGTTCTGTAAAGCCTGGCAGAGATAAAAGAATACGATCAAAGAAACTCAGTTCATTACCACAATTAATATTTGTAAATAATCAGAATCAGATCGAAACCTGTCTGTTCTAATACCATTGTTGGCGCGTTTTCTTTCTTCCTCTCATTTGTTTAATCTCAACTACTTTTCTGCAAGTGGAATTATATTTTGAAAAAAATGATCTTAGTATTTACCAAAACGGCTGTGGTCCTTCCTCGTGCCTTGCACTGTGCCATCCGGAAGTATTTCCAGATGAAATCCAGTTCTGCAGTACAACTGCCTCCTCCTGAGAATTCCTTTGAGGTGCGTTAAATCCGAGAATCTGTCCCCAGGTACGAGGTGCTCTTCCAGCCGCGTCTGGCTCTCCGTGAGGAAGAAATGAGAGCCGACTTGTGCGACACCGTCGATGCCGTGCCAGACGCCTCCAACTTCTCCCAGAGTGGCAGCACCACCACCAACAGCAGCCATCGCGTCCGAGCTCAGCGGGTAAAGTTCAGAGAGGAGGTCCGGAGGGAGCGCTCTTGCGTAGTAGGCTACCTGGCTGCCACTTATTGCATGTTTACGTCCCTTCTCCTCCTGTGTTACTTAGCACATGTCCCCGTGTGGCAGTCACAGCCTCGGGTTCGTTTCCCCTGACATCAAACACTCAGAAAATCTCAGCTACTGGCTGCACAGACTTCTCCGGGTTGTTGTTGGGTTGTTTTTTTAAAGGTGCGCCTTCTTCATCAGTTGGAGGTGGGCTGCAGTTGCTGGTCAGACAGCCCGCATGTTGCATACCTGTCCACAGTAGATGCTCGCGCCTCTGTTGTGCCGTGGCGGAGGTTTCAGTAAGTAAGGGGCTCGTTGAACGCTGCAGTGCAGGTAAAAGGAGCTCCTGGAGGTTTTGTGCTCAGAGGCAGGTGCAAAACCACAGGACTCGTAGTGGGCGGGGCTGTCAGATTAGACGTGCCCTTACAGGGCCTTTTCCCCCTCTTATCTCAGTAAGAGAGAAAGAGAGTTGTTGGTGGGCTGGTGGCTTAAACTGAGCGCGCGCATCACTTAAAATAAAACCAAAAATAGCAAAGATAAACTATAAACCACTTTACATCACCTTTTACACGAGATATAACTCTACGTGTAGTTTCCCCCCCAGCAGTTCTTTCACTCCTACAAATTTGACGTTCTTTAATCCATGAGCTACTTGAAATACCCACGGCATTTCTCGCGAGCTCGCGAGTAGCAGACGGCTCGAGCTCCCCTGCTCTCCCTCTCTCTCTGTCTGTGTGTGCGCGTGATATCGGTTACGACACCATAGTGTAAACAGCCATGGCTGCACTGCGCAGGCTTATCGTTTCATTCAGCTCCAAAGCAGAGACGTTCACGGCGCAGAAACCGCCTCAAACACCCTCAAAGGCGACTAAAGCGCAGAAACTTATCGCAGCGGGAGCGAGCATCACAGCCGGCGCCGCTTATTATTACTATTACTATTATTACTCCTGCCGCTCGCACGTCGGTAGGCGCCCCGGACTGAAGAGCCACGTCGAGGCTCGACTCATGCATCTGGCGCTGCCATCAGTTTCCGCCACCGATAAGGTACGATAAAGTAAGCAGCGGCTGCTGTATGGCGACAACATTCAGCTCACTCCAATACACACACACACACACACACACACACACACACACACACACACACACACACACACACACACACACACA